GAATGTATCAATGCTGAAAAGTGGACAGAATTAGTTCAGGGCTAGAGACATTTCACAACTGAGATAAAAATATTACAATCCTCTAAAAGACAATTTGGGCCTCAAAGGAACATTCATAAAAATTTCTTTTTAACATAAACATAAAAAGCTCCAGAAATGGCTTTAACAACTTCGATGGGGCAGGGTGTCACTTAAATACTCTAAAGATTTTTGAGAACTCTTTTTTATTGTTAGTTTAAGAAAACAGATTTGTTAACACAGAGATATTATCTCAAATTAACTTTACTGGGTAGAAGAGGAAGCTATGAATAAGACATCATCTGAAATGTATTAATTGATGAGTATACATTGGGCAAATGAATGCCACTTTGTTCTTAGTCTTACGCAGAGGAAAAGGTTTTAAATGTAATCAGAAACCAATTCACTAACCCCAATACTGGATCATGCATTATCATTAAAAAACTTGCAGTTAAAATTGTACAGCCAAAATGTCTAAAAGGATATGGATTTTAAAATGTGTGTCTGTGTGTGTGTGTGTGTCTTGAGATAATATTTTCCTCCTTATTGTCTGAGCAGCTGCTATTCTCATAATGAAATTAGGAACACAAGTTGAACAGCAAACAAGACAATTTCTCAAAAGAAAACCTTAACCGATTATCATTTTCCTCATAATACTTCATATGTGTATTCACTTTGAAGACTGAATTTTAACATCTACAGCCTCTAGTGTTACTATGGCCTTTTCCTCTGCTGGCATGGGGCACGAGCTGCCCCTCCTCCCCGGCAGGACTGCCCCCGTGCATGTTCTGCCCCCTCACCATGCTCACCCAAGGCTGAAATTGAAGTCTTTTCCAAGAGCTCAGAAATGTCTCTGAACAGAACTTAAACCTTCCAGGCCTGGATTCTAACATACGTTCTTCTGAAATGCAATATTCAGGGCTCCAGCAGTGCCAATGCATTGTGCTCTGATTCTTTCAAGAGAACAAGTCAAATGTCTTTATAATAAAAACCTTGGCATAACGGAGTTCCTTAAAAATTTGGGGATGGAGTGCCTGTCTACCTTCATCTTCCACCATTTACAGAAAGGGACCCTTTGCTTCTATCAACCTGGGTTATGTGCTATCCCCTAAATACCTCCAAGGCTGCCCTATTTCTGGGCTCTTGCCTCTGCCATTCCTTGTTCTCCTTCCTCAGCCCAGGATGTCCTCCCAGTCCACCTTCACTGGGAAAATCCCTCCTCACCTCCAGCCCACCATTGGTTCCTCCTCAGTGACCCCTTGCTAGGCCACTCTCCTCCAGACCACCTCGGCATGTTGCCTAGTGGATATGTGCTTCTTTTTTTTTCCTCTTTTGGAGACAGGGTCTTGCTCTGTTGCCAGGCTGGAATGCAATGGCACCATTGTAGCTCACTGCAGCCTTGAACTCCTGGGCTCAAGGGATCCTCCTGCCTCAGGCTTCAGAGTAGTTGGGACTACAGGCAAACACCACTGTGCCTTGCTAATCTTTTTTAGTTTTTTTGTAGAGATGGAGTCTTGCTATGTTGCCCAGGCTGGTCTTGAACTCCTGGGCTCACATGTTCCTCCCACCTCAGCTTCCCAAATTGCTGGGACTACAGGCGTGAGCCACTGTGCCCAGCCTATACATGCTTCTTATGTATATCACAGATTGTGGACTTACTCTATATTTAGTTATTGCATTGCTATTTAGCTTTCCATATGCAAGCCCCATCTCTACAACTAGACCATAAACTGCTAAAGGGAAAGATTTGGTCTTCTATGTCTTTAGATCCTTATAGTGCTTGCATAGTCCCTGGCCCCCCAGGGAGTGCTCACGGTATTCTTTTTATTGGTAGATTTCACATAACACATTGCAAATGGTCACAAAAATCAAGATTACGCCCACAGATGTCCCAGAAACAATATCTAACTATACAGAGCAGCATTGCCAAGCCACGAAGAAGTCTGCCTAGTAATGACAATGATAACAGCGGCCAACACTAAGTGCTTGTGATGCGTCTGGCATTCTTCCAGGTACTTTCCTTAAATGTATGTGACAACCCTACGAGTTATGACAATTACAGTCCTCATTTTACAGATGGGGGAACTGAGGCACAGAGCCGTGGTGTAGGTACTCAAGCTGGTAAACAGCAGAGCTGGGATTTCAACTCGTGCAGCCTGGTCCCAGAGTTACAGCAGAAGCATGGCATCTGCTCTTTCTCTACAGACAGCAAAGGGGACGGGGAGAGGATGAGCTAGGAACAGCCAGAAACGACAGAAAGAGCTACCAAGACTTCTACCAGTTCTGCTGTGCATGTGCAATGCTTCACAACTATGTGCTAAAATAATTATTTCAGCAATTAAACAGGTTCTCTAGTTTCTTATGGTTTCAGGTTATTAATTTAAAAATGCAATTTAAAATACATTCACAAAATGATTAGCTCAGAAGATGACTGATCATCTTTTTTCTCTTAGATATCTATTTGACATGACTAATGTGAAATTTTTCTGATGTTTAATCACAGCCAAGTTATTTACAATTGATCATGATAGAACCACCCTCACCTGGTTAGAACATGATAAACAATAAATGGAAAATGGCAAAACAGAAGTCTATTTTTAGAACTAGGAATAAAAATGTTAGTTACAACAGAGAGAAATTATAATGGAGAACAAATCGTATATGTATCAAATATAAATACATAACATTGTTTAAGTCCCTGGCTAGGCATAGGCCCAATCTGCTAATAAAATTATGTTTTATTTGTTTTGTGGTTTTCATCGCATAAAGTCAACAGAGCAGGGGAACAGAACCACAGATAAATGAAAGCCACTTTGGCACTGAGGACATATGCGGACAAGATCCGGAAGGGAATCTAGAAAAATGACAACTTTGGAATGCACCTTTTGTTTCCTTATTGCTTTTATTTCTGTCACGTTAATATTAAGGGTAAAAAGTAAATTGTTTGTGCCTATGTGAACAGTGGTACTCAGAGAGTCAGCTTAGATTTTACTCAACAGCATGCTGTTAATTAATCTTCCAAATTGTTGAGGTATTTCATATGAAGTAGTACCCCCACCCTTGTCCTTGCCCCAGACTCAATTCCTAGATAATCACTTCCATCAATCACTTCTATCAAGTCCTAGATAATCACTTGTCTCACTGACAGACTCAGAGGAAATGATCAGTTTTGTGGGCAGAATGAAGGGACAAGTAGCGAACTGGCATCCAGGATGCTGCCTAGAACCCTGCCCATTTAAGAAGACACCCAGGTGATATGCAAGGCGCAAAAAGCACTGGCACTCCCAGCAGCCAAGCGATGCAGTCTATAAACCCTTCATCAAGAAGGGCCATGGCATGCCTACCAGGGACACAGCTTAGGGAGGTGCAGCACAGATGGGGTGAGGGTTAAAGGCAATGGCTACCTGGCCACGTCAGCCAAACCAACTCCAAAAACAAGGAGATGACAGTGGCCACAGGCAGATCACTCTTATCTTATAATCTGGGATGGCAAACACCAGACAGATTACTTCATTTTCTTTGTATTTCATTATTTTTATTTACTTTTTTAGGGTCTTGCTCTGTTGCCCAGGCTGGAGTTCAGTGCTGTGATCACAGCTCACTGTAACCTTGAGCTCCTGGACTCAAGTGATAAACCTGCATCAGTTTTCCCTGAGTAGCTGGGACTATAGGTACACACCACCATGCCCAGCCTCTCATTTTGCTTACTTTATTTAATTAGTCAACAAATTTTGAGGGAGGGCAGATTTTGGAAGGAAAGGGCATGGATGGTTCTGTAGTGTGCTGAAATCTAGAGCTTTGCTAAGATGGGATCAACATGAAGCGTCTGTACATGTACAAATTAGCAAATGTTACCATGACTAACAGTCAAATGAAGAATTAAGGCAATTACGAGGTTAATTTCCTTGAAGTTTCTCAGTAGTCCTGTGAGTCTATAGGTGATTTTGTCTTTTACAACCTTGTATTTTCTAATTTCATGAAAGGAAAGCTAACCAAATTTGTGGATTTTATTTTTTGCCTGCGTGTCAAAAAGCCTTAGAGCTGACTGAGGCCTGGTTGTAGCAATCGGCCGTCTCAAAGGCCTCCCGCATGTTTAAATAGCTTCTCTCCTGTTTATTTTGCACTGTTTTATCCTGTAAGCTCTCTCAAGGCCCTTCCAATACAAGCATGAGGATTTAAATCTTAATAAATTGAAATTTGAATAATAGAGATAATCTGGGTTTGGGGGGTCTTGAATTGAATAAACATCTCTATTTCCAATTTGCACATTACGTATGTGCTGTACATATCGCCCCATGATCAAGGTCAGAAATAATAAAAATAGTCATAACAGGAAGAATACTGATAATATTTAGAATTAAATAGCACTTTTCCATTTTTAAGGACTTTTTTATATACAGCTTCTCCTTCTATTCTTGCAAGAGTACTCCATGGTAGGAAGATCAGGTGTCATACCCACTTTTAAAACGAAGCAAGTGAGTCACAAAGAGATTAAGACACACTCAAAACAATATGGAGGAATGGAGGCAGTAGGACTAGAACTCAGTTTTCCTGATAGCTTTCCCGCAGTTTGCCGAAATGTGTTAACATATGTGTGCCAACAATAAGACTCAATGACATTCCAATTAAACTTACTGGAGACACCTTTTTATAAGCTTATGACAGGGACATTGTACAAGTCTGGAGTTAGCTCTTTTTTAAAAAAGATTACCAAAGAGATTGCTCATCAGTTCAACTCTGGGGCTGAAAGTGACAAACAAGCAATGCTCAAATACCTTTTGTGGTCTCCTGTTATTTTGAAGGAAGGAGTAAAAATAAACATAACTTCCTTAATTATAATTTAACAACAAACTATTTCTTCTATCTTGTGATTTCTTATCACTCAAAATTCTAAGGAGTTGAAATTTAAGACATAAGTAGAGACATAAAAATCAAGGAGATACATTCTAACATTAATAGAAACAACAATTAAAAAGGCTTACCTTGCAGCCTTCACATGTAATGACACCATAATGGATTCCTGATGATTTGTCTCCACAGATCTTGCATGGAATAATTTCAATTTGAGCTGCAACAGAAGCACGCAACCAGTTAATTACATTTTCTTTTAAACACCTTATAAAAGCGTTCCCTGATCAGCATTTGTATAGTGAAAACTAATAACCTGCTAAACATTATACTGCATTAACTATTCATTGCTGAACTGTGAGGGTCCCCCTAGAGCCCTGGACTAAATTATGGCTGCTCGTTATATAATAGCTTTCGGGTTATTAAAATGGGTCATTTGAGAAGGTGTTTAAGAACCCACAAGAAGACTGGAATCAGCATTTCAAAGCCTTCAAGAACTGGAGAGTTCGCAGTTTAGGACTCAGAGCAAAGCAGATACTGAAATGTTTCCTCCCATCTCATTTTCCGTCATTATTTTTAAAAGGTCATAAATCTGTCTTGGCTGAGCATTATAGCTTGACTGCTAGAGAAAAATACACTCTAAAAAGTCAGGTCTAGTTAGGAAAATGATTCAATTTAAAATATTAATAAGTTATATATGATGGTAAGAATTCCTTATATTTTAAAAAATTAATGCAGTTGCCATGTGTTAAGAATTAGTCCCTTTGTGTACAATCAAAACCTTTTAACCACAGAGTTAATATCCTGTTTGAATTTAATAATGATGAATCCTGACAAATAGGATATGTTGTTTGTGAGTTCTTTACGCTGGACACTGAGTAATTTCTGGTACAGAGGGCATGTGTTTCTACCCAATTGATGACTTAAAGACGCCTCATGCTGGAAGACTAGGAAGTAACATGTATCACACCAAATTTCTCAAATAAGACAAAGCACATTTCTAAGCAAACACAAATATCTCAAAGTTAAAAAGAGCGTAATTAAGGATTAAAAAATAAGGAATAATTAGGCAAAAGAAAATGCTTAGATCAACTATTAAATAGAATTTATGTATCAAATAAAGACCAACGCTGAGCTATATAGACAGGATGGGAACAGTCACCGGTTTACCTGGAATGTGTCATTACACTAAATTCATTTCCCATGGTTTTCACTACTGGGTATCATGTTAGAGTCTCTGAGTTACACACACACACACAATTGCACGTGCCCCAGTCTAGTTCATTTTCATGCAGCCTTTACCTAGCCCCAGGCCTTACACAGAGTAATTTCTTCGTCCAAAGAATATGTCCCACACTGTAAGCACCACACATAGACCACAACCCACTTTTTCTTCTCATGTAATCCCATATCCTGGGATAATTCCACAACCACTTACTTTGGATTTGAGGTGATGCTGGATTCAATACTTAGAAAGAGCACACATGAAACTACTGGATTTAACCTCATTATAAACTGTGTGTACTGCTAACTCTTTCTCAGGGCCTAATGCAAGCACTGTGGTGACTTTTACGGAGTGCAAGCTATTCTAAAAGCTAGCCATCATTTTTCAGCGCTTGCATACGGAGTTTCTTTGCTTATTCAGATTTAGAGATAGTTCCAAATCTCACATCCAGCGTATTTTCTAGACTTTGGAGGCTTTCTAATACTCTAGTAATGGTGACTTTGGACACTAACAGGTACAGTTTGAGTTAAGCATCTTAGTATGTTTAAGGTTGCATTCAACAAAAATTGTCATTTCCAAGTGTTCCTCCTCATGTGAACACTGGGCTTTTTTTTTTAAGAAAAATTCTTTATGAAACATAACATCTAGTAATGTCTCATACTTCACAGCCCTTTCAATATGTTTCATATAGTCAAGGCAAAGGTTTGTGCCACAGCTCTGCAACTGGAGAGAAAGTGAGTTATGCCTAACACTTTCCAGAGATGCTCAAAAGCCAAGTGGAAGTAGAGAAATCCTGAAAGGTGATATCAGCTGGCTGCGAGTTATTGCCTGCTTTTCTCTACATGAATTGAGTCGTCTAGAATGAGAACCAGCCTCCCCCTACGCTGGTCCCTAGGAATAGAATCATTAGGCCACATAAAGTCCTTGAACCACCAGGTAAACAGAATTTATACATGAAATGAAGAAGACTCACTTGGAGCTGCTTCTGCTCATGTCTCACCTCAGGGTGTAAGGACAGGAATTAGGGATGAACAAACCTCTTTTAGGTTTTAGTCCCACCATTTAAGTCAGCATCAAAACTACCTGATGCTAATCTTGGGCCTTTCAAGAGTTATCTTGATTCTATCGTAAAAATAGGGGAGATCAAGCATGTCTCTTTAGTCTTTTGTAAGAACAGGAAGGCCCTGGGCAGGGCATATTGGGAACACCGAGTCAGACTGCATCTGGACAAAATGAAAATGGTGTAGTACGCCCGTCCAGTCGGCCCGGACTCACAGTGGATTACTAACGAGAAGTGAAGTAATGATGTTTAAGGCTGTGACTGCAATGTCTGTGTGGCATGGAGGTCTGCTCATGACGGGGGTGGCCTTGGAAGTACCATGCTGGCCCCAGCACTTCCACCCGTGGAATGGCTCATGGCCTGGCGGGGGTGACGGCAGGGGTGCAGGTGGGGAGCAGTTGTTGTCCAGACCCAGGAGTTTGGTGTCTCTGTGATACAAGACTGATGGCCTCAGCCAGGCTTCAGCTCCTAGGGGCTTTCAGGTCTGGAGGATGCTTGAGCTGAGACAGTCACGAGATCTGTGGAGGCCAAGAAGCTTAGGACAAATGGACTCACTGTAGATTGACTTGTATTTCCAAACAGGGGGCCATTCACTTAGATCTTTGTCCCCACGGTGTCCTGTGCTTAGTTCCAGTGGGCTAAAGCATCAGAATTAATTGAAACAAGCTTCACTGGGAATCTCATCGTTTCTGGATAGCAAATTGGTATTCTGATTGGTTAAGTTATTCTCCTAGGCTCCCTCCTGCATGGTTCTCTCATCTCAGATGACAATTTCAGTTGCAAGCGCTCTTTAGGAAATGACTACAATTCCCCTACTCTGAATGTGATCTGATCACACGTGTTGATATTCCCAGAAGGCAAGTACTTGCAGATTGGAGCAGGGCACTTCCTCAGCCCTCCATTTAATCCAACAATGCACAAAGCCATCTCCATCCCCCCTTTTAGTCAATTTCCAGAATTCAAATGAATCCATGAGGAAAAATTCAGTCCATGCCTTGCAAATTCTCCAAAAGGATGCAGTTTAGTTTCACGAATTTGAGTTTTCTGTCCAACAAGGAGGAGGACAATAATCCCTCTGTCTTTTGCCTTTCATCATGCAGGCTTTTCGGTTTCCCACCAGGTAGTGTGGTGTCTTCTCAAAACAATCTTCTTTTAACACAAATTATGAATCTTGGCCCATATCTATACTGCACACATTAACTCAGCCAGCATTTCAAAGGATGAGTTCTGTCAGACAGCACTACTGTCAACGTTCACAAGTATATTGATTAAATTAGCCCACATGCATATTCATCCCAGCAAAGAAGTTTATTGTGTAGCGGAGTATCTGGAGCAAGACGCACGCATATAATCATGAATTGGCTTCACAATGAACAATCTTGCTATGAAAAATTCTAATTGCCCACATTTTCAGCTCTATTACCTCAATAATTTGCTCTCTCATGTACCCTATATAATTCAAACAGGCTCTCCACACCTGCAGAGGCAAATTTCTGCAGTTTCAAAGAGCTGACAACAAGTGGCAGCGGGCATCAGGAAATCGTGGAATGCAAGGGCGCTAATTAACCAAGTGGTCCTTGGGGCTAGGCTGTCATTTAGCACTGTACTTCTATAAAAAGTTCGCTTTGAATTTTTAATTATAAAAGGAACAAGAGCTTGAGCACTAGCCTTCTTAAGATGACATTTATTCCTCAGGACATATCTTTAGAGATATCATGGTCCAGAGAACAATGCCCATTCTTCCAAAGAATTAGAAAAATAAAAATTGTATTAGAGTCACCCAGTACTTCATGCTGTGGGTCAGTAGTGATTTCTCAATAGTAATAAAATTAATTGATAATAATGCCTACATGTATTTGTGCTAATAATGTGTCATGCATCACGTCTCACTCCTCCAACACCCTATGTGGCAGGCATCACTATTTACTGTCACTGTCGTCACTGTCATCGTCATCACTGCACTCTTGTTAAGCAATCACTAACCAGGGTTCCAAAGACCTCGCCTTCATAGTTTGTTTAAACTTACATACGACTCAGGAACTGATGTCAACATCTCTTTCTGCGAGTTATCTGCTTAGTTTATAACTAAAAATAATCATCAACCTTCCAGGCCACTGATCTCAGTTTCACAAGCTTCTGATTAGAATTTTAACCCTAAAATGACCAATGCCAGCATTTGACAATTCTTAAGGCCAGACAAATCACTTAACCTCTCTGAGCCTCAGTTTCATACTTGAAGGTTCAAGGATGGGATACATCAATGACAGCATATATATGATATCTGTATGAGCATTTTATATATGTATTCTCTATATGTGCACATCACATAGTTCTTAGAAATAGTTGGCACTCAATAAATAGTAGTTATTATTATTGTTGCTGTTGATAAGAAATCCTGCCTTATGGTGAAATGAAATTCCTTCCTCCAGACTTTAAGCTCTTTCCGAGGTGGGGATAGAGAAAAGCTGCTTATCCTCCAAATAATACGACAGGCAGTTCATACCGGCTACCACAGCAATCCTTCACAACATTGCTGCTTAACTGTTTGCTACAACACAGCGGTATGTTGCAGTAAGTTGCAGGAGCGTCACAGGGAATTGGTTTCTAATAAAACTTTAAAAGAATTAAAGTTTTTCATTAGTTCACATAAAAAGTAAACTAATGTGGACCCAAGGTTACCCCAATAATATCTTTCACTCTACCTCACTTGCACAATCATGTATTTTCCTGAATAGAACTGAATGGGATGGGGTTACTGTTGGTTGGCCAATGGCTGAACCTTGGGTACACCTTATGCGAATATGTCTGTCATGCTTATGAATGTCAACCAATTTTGTGTGTCTTGCAAAAATGGTGAAAAACTAGTGCTTTAAAAAGCCTAT